GGTCAGATGAGCATATTTTGATACCTTATTTGTGACACTGGCAAGACACAAAATGGTGTGGGGTCCGGGGGCAGAGCCCCCAGAATCCCAGGGGTTGTATACATTATATTACCGTCAGATGAGCATATTTTGATACCTTATTTGTGACACTGGCAGGTCACGAATTGGCGTGGCGATCCAGGGGGCGGAGCCCCCGGAAGCTTAGGGGTCTTGGGCAATAAATTACAGTCAGATGAGCATATTTTGATACCCTATTTGTGACACTGGTAGGACACAAATGGGTGTGGGGTCCAAGGGGCGGAGCCCCCTTAAGCTCAAGGGTTTTGGGCAAAAGATTACGGTCAGATGAGCATATTTTTCGATACCTTAATTGTGACACTGGCAGGACACAAATTGGTGTTGGGTACAGGGGGCGGAGCCCTCAGAAGCTCAGGGGTTTTATTTATCAAATTATCATCGGATGAGCATAATTGTATACCTTATTTGTGACACTGGCAGGTCACGAGTTGGCATGGGGTCCAGGGGGCGGAGGCTCAGGGGTGTTAGGCAATGGATTACGGTCAGACGAGCATCCAGGGGCCCACCTTAGGGCCATTGGTTTGGTTCGGGGGGCAGAGCCCCGAAAGCTCAGGGCTTTAGGCATTTAATTACATCAGATGAGCATGATTATACCTTATCTGTGACACTGGCAGGTCACTAATTGACGTGGGGTCCAGGGGGCGGAGCCCCCAGAAGCTCAGGGGTTTTAGGCATTTTATAACGGTCATACAAGCATGCAGGGGCCCGCTTTAGGGCCCCTGGTGGATTCGAGGGGGTAGAGCCCCGAAAACTTAGGGGTTTTATGGTCAGATAAACATATGTTGATACCTTATTTGTCACACTGGCAGTACACTAATTGGGGTGAGGTCCAGGAGACGGAGCCCTCAGGAGCTCAGGGATTTTAAGCATTAAATAACCGTCAGATGAGCATCCAGGTGCGTGACTTTGGGCCCTAGGTGAAATCCACGGGGCAGAGCCCCCGTACGCTCAGAGGTTTTAAGGCATTTAATCAGGGTCAGATGAGCAATTTTTTAGGGGGGCCCCGGAAATTAGAAAATTACGTCGTCAGATATTTCGTTCATTGGCTTAGGAGGGGGAGGTGAAGGAACACATTTTGTATTAGTTGCTTCTTGAGCAAAAAAAAAAAATCTTTCCCCTTTTTTTTTTCTTTCTGTTTTTTTCCTTCATTTTTTCCCTTCTTTTTGTTTCCTTTTTTTTTTTTTGCTCTTTACACAAAATAATGTTCAAAGTTGTATTGTTAATAATTATTGGCAATCATTATTTTTTGTTATCTTCAAAGAGATCTCCGGCAGGTTCCCCTGTTTTCGCCAGTGGCGGATCCAGGGGGCGGGATCCCCGGGCCCCCCGCCCCCCCCCCCCCCCCCTGGATCCGCCACTGGCGAAAACAGGGGAACCTGCCGGAGATCTCTTTGAAGATAAAAAAAAAATAATGATTGCCAATAATTATTAACAATACAACTTTGAACATTATTTTGTGTGAAGAGCTTTTATATATCCAATAAATACTACCAAAACAATTTTTTTTTAAATCTATATGATAGTCCCAACTTATTTGATCAAAATAACATATTACAATCATCGATCGAATGCATATTGTTCCCAACAAAACGTCTTTTAAGATTTTGATTTTGCTCTGAATCAGTACAGACATTTCAAAGTTTTGTCAACCTTGCTGCTAAAACAGATGCTAATAATTATAATCAGTATTTAAGAGACTTTTCGTCCTCTAATTTCAAAGGTTTTCTTTGACGCGTTTCTTATGTAGAAAGTTGATGACAGCTAGCTCTAGTTTGTGAAATTGGAAAGTTTTCTACTAACAATGATGTTTTAAATAACTTTAACAGAATATAAAAGAGACATATATTTGAAAGGAAAAGGGGCTCTAATCATATTTTAATAAGGGCACTTATCGAAGGTGTAAAGGGACATTTATAAGAAAGTGAAGAGGATCTTATGAAAAAATAGGGCACTTATCCTATGTAAAAAGGGGCACTTTGTAGGTATCTGAAAAGGTGGGGCACTACGTAAACGCCGCCTCTGCCCTTAACCAAACCCTTACATCTCAGTCGAAGAAATACGATTTCATACCATGTTTTAATGACTTTACTTTGACTCTTTCAAAATGTAAATGGTTTATTAATAACATCGCGGCCAAAGGACGAATTGCGAAATCCTTTGCAAAGTGAATTACAAATATATACAATCATGACTCCCATGACATATTTGTGCACAAATAATAGTAAAAGAACGTAATAACGAAATCATGGGTAATTAACTACACATTCGGTAATCGAGTTGTGTAAAATATGAAGTTACATAAAATTGAGTCGAGAAAAGTAGATGTAGGCACTAAAGGAATAGGGTTCACTTTATAATTATAAATCGAATTGTAGATCGCGTTTGAAGGAAGATATATATATATCATTATGTATACCCTATGCAATTGACAAATAAATAAGTAATGCAACACAATTCATGAATTAATAGGCCTAAACTTTTATATTGCCATAATTTGTTCGCTGATCGTAAATCTGATGGCATTAAAATAATACATTTTCCATGTGGCCCTGACAAGGCTCCCGAAGAATCAGCAATAACTAACAGAAATATTGTTAATGTTTCCGGATCCTGCTAATGTTTTGATTGCAATGATTTTGTTCGCATTTCCAGTGAGTTTGATAAGGAACAGAATATGAAAGTATTTGACTTTTGCCTCAACACAATCGCCAAAAAATAACCATGATAATTCAAAAAGCAAAAATTAAGTTGATGATAAATTAGTTGTTTATTTATTTGTTTCTGCATGTTTTATCAAACTGCAGGATATGATCAGCATATAATAAACAAGCAATATCAGCCATACTTTAAAAAGGCAATTACAATAAAAAAATAAAAAAAACATGTTCAGTATACTATGGAGAAACACGCAGAGGTTTGGCAATAACGGCCAAAGACTTAAGACGTTGTCACATCTTTACCATTCGTTTAACGTACATTTATATTCTTCAAGTGATACAAAGCAAACCTACTTCTTATATTTTCAATACTCATTATTATTACTAAATACTAATGACGTACGTAAGCAAACACCAACAAATTCAGTAACTAATTCCTTAAATTTTGTGACGATTAACAGATGTAATTTTGTTTTAAGGACAATAGAAGTATACGAATAGAGTAGGCCTTATCTGGCTAAAATACATGTACATACTAAGCTTGATATACAATCTCGTATTATTGACCATGTAGGCATGCCGAGGTCATCGTAAAAGGTCAATCTCATTGAAGTAAGCTTTGGACAAGAACTATATATGCACCGTGCATTCGTTTGTATGGAAAGGTGCTTACTACTCAGTGTATAGATTGGTGCTGCTGAATTCGATTACTGTTTTCCCTCTGATACAATACACAATGATATGTCTAGACTCTATCAAATATTCTTTCTTTTACACACCGAGGGCGTGCATTGGATCATATAAATCGACAAAGAGGCATTTGTTAACATCGTCAAGGTAGGAAAATGTTTCTCTCAGAACTTTCATAACGCGAAAACTGTACAACCTTATTTGTACAAAGCTTATTAAAGACCAAGTAATTCAGTGAAAGCCAATAAAAGTGACAGGATTATATTTGATGAGTATAATTGATACCTGCATGCTTTTGCACACGTAACCGATCATGCATTCACATGCAACATAAATTTCATCACTACAATTGCTACTATGTAGGCTATTATAGCTTCCTAATAACCCGTATAGTGCAGTATTGTTGGAAGGCAATTCTAAGAGCTTGGGTATTTCCTCAAGTGTTTTTTTCTTCATGTAGAGTGGCCGGGTTTTTCAAAGGGAGTATTAACACTTAACTATATATTTTAACCATGTTATTGGCTGTATTTCATATATTGTTGTGCCTAAATTTTGAATGGAAATTAATGTGTAGGCGTCTTGAGCATCTAAGAGATGGAAGGCGTATTGTCATTATTATTAATAATTTTATCATTATTATTCTTATTATTGTTGTACTACTGCTATTGTTATTTTCATTATTATTACTATCATTATCATTAGTGCTAATGTAATCATCGTCATTATCATTACTATTAAATAATATACAATTAATTTCATAATTATTATTATTATATAGATTCGCTATATTGCTTGTGTATGTTGCGTGATCCGTTTATGACGGCAACCATTTATTCTATCAAAGCTATTCCCTAAGCATCGCCATGTGGAAATTGACTGAAACGGGGGCTCTAGATCTCTACCAGAGTGCAACAGAGCTCACAAAAGATTTGGTAAACATGCCCTGCAGGTATTTCAATGGACTTGATTCCACTTGCACGTACGGAAGCGTTAAAGTGCCATTCTACTTGACGACATGACGAGATATTTCATCTTGTCAAGTCGACTTAATGTATATATCATGTCGACATGTAAAGATATTTAACCTAGCATGTCGACTTATCAACTTTTATTAGTCGACATGGCGAAATAAATTATCTTGCCAAGTCGACTTCACAAAAAGTTCATGTCGTCATGGCGACATAAGTTATCTTACCAAGTCGACTTCTAAAAAATTACATGTCGTCATGGCGACATATATTATCTTACCAAGTCGACTACCCAAAAAGTAATGTCGACATGGCGAAATAAATTATCTTGCCAAGTCGACTTCACAAAACGTTCATGTCGTTATGGCGACATGTATTATCTTGCCAAGTCGACTTCACAAAAAAGTTCATCTCGTAATAGCGACATAAATTATCTCACCAAGTCGACTTCCCAAAAATTATATGTCGTCATGGCGAGATATGTAGTGTGACGACTATTTCATGCAGCGTGCGTACGTGTAGTTCATTCACAGTCGACTAGTTTAGGTCTAGTGACTTCTTAAAACTGACTCCACGTGATCATTTATGTCGCCAAGACGACATCTACTGTTATTAAGTGTCACGTGAGCGACTGTTTTTTAATTATTTACACTGCTACCTCATCAGAAAACCACACCAGAACACAATTGTATAAGTTTAAATAAAAGTTTAATATTCAGCCTACAAATCGTGGCGTCAAAAAATCATCAACAGCACATAAACAATTTAATGGAACATAACTTTATAACAGGGCAGCTTCCATCTCGTGAGTCCCTCCTGGTCCTTGTCGCTTGGCCAGTCTCTAGACTGCGTAGAATCCCCGTCGACTTGACAGCTTATCTCGATCTCCGTCGATGAATTCCCTGGTCGCTTGGCCAGTCTCTAGACTGCGTAGAATCCCCGACGTAAAAAGTCTTTCTCAAGAATAATGTTTCTCCCACTAATATAAATAAAAACTACCTCGTGCATTAAACGTCTGCACCGTAGCACTGACTTGAAGGGTTCTGCCCATTATTCTACAGCAACTTCCCTTTCCCCTTTCTTTGCCAGGTCCTTAACATTCAAAACCTCCTGGGTATGCAAGCTATTTCTATTTCTATCTACAATCAATAGCCAACCCCAAATCATGCATAACAAAACCCCATATACTATACATGTTAAATGCAAATGTATGCAATAATGCATCCTACGCTTGGCTACCTCTATCTGACCCTTGAGTAGTACATTTCCTTTGAGTAGTACATTTCCCTCCTCGCCTGGAAAAAATTCCTTTCATGACAATATCCCTCACTTTAAGATATAGCTAAGGGTACACGATTATATCACAAAATCATGAATTTTTTTTCTTAGATATTATTTCTTTTCTCTCTTTTGTTTGTTTTACATATACAATTTTATACAACAAATAATCACAAGACATGTTGTGACAGTGGTCTTGTCTATCGACTGACAATATTGTCAAACTATTCATAGTACAACAAGCATAAAACTCCTATTTTATCATTGTGTAATTACTCTCATGAAGAGGAATATGAACAGTAATAAATCAACTTAAAACCTGTGAGTTATACATAATTTCAGCACTTTGCAAACTTTTGGAACAGCTTGATACAACATAAATGACAAATTTGTAATTGGATTTGTCTTTTTCTGTCTAATGAAACTTCGAGCAACATGTTTATCAACATTCTTGTATTTTTAACAATTAATATTCATACATGTATTAACGTTTTCTTTTCTATTGTCAGCACTCGAAAACTCAAATGACTTGATATGTTTATCAACAACTAGCAAGTGTCTCACAAAATGAGCAAGACAACTGAATTGATACGTACAGGCTTACATATTTACGCTTATACAATTTTCTACCTTAAGAAGTCCTAATTACATTAAAGTACACATACTCTACTTCTTAACTAAGCCCTATAACCGCGAAGACGAGTCGAGTCGGTAGACCGGGTTGCTGAAAGAAAAGAGATGATACTTTCAGTAGTTTTTGCAATAAAACCACACAATAGTCATAACAAATCTAATGATGTGTACAATGTAATAACTTCTTGGTTGTTAGATGTTTTTTTCTTGTCAATAGTATTATATCTTTAACAAAATAATAATACGGGTAATCCATTCTTGAATAGGATTAAAACAAACATCCATCACAACATCATAAATTACAGCAATCTGCTCATTAGGTCAGCAGCCTTATTTTCTGATCCTTTCACAGACACAAGACGGAACCTATGCTCTTGGAGACTTAGACTCCATCTCATAATGCGCTTGTTTGTCATCTTATTGGTTTGTATGTACAACAAGGGTTTATGATCAGTGTGAATTTCAAACTCCCTACCGTACAAAAAGTACTCGAACTTGCGGACAGCCCACACAATCGCCAAACATTCCTTTTCGACTGTGGAGTATCTAGTTTCCCTAGGCAACAACTTTTTGCTTGCATATGCAATAGGAAAATCTTCATCATCGCTCTCTTGCATGAGCACCGCGCCTAATCCGGTATCGGATGCGTCAACTTTCAACATGAACAGTTTGTCAAAATCGGGTAGCCGTAAGACCGGAGGTTTCGCAAGACTTTCCTTAAGCTTAATGAAAGCTTCTTCTTCTTTCGGCCCCCATTCTACCTTCCCGGGGCTACCCTTACGAGTGAGATTCGTTAGCGGTAATGCTACGTCGGCATACTCAGGAATATAATCCCTGTAGTATCCGGTCAAACCTAGAAACGAACGGACTTGTTTCTTAGTTTCTGGTCTAGGTGCTTCTACAGCCTTCTGAGTTAGTCTACTACTAGTGAGAATCGTTCCATTTCCTAGCTCGTGTCCTAAGAAGTCTATTGAACTAAACCCTATGAAACACTTCGAGGGACGCGCAGCCAAATTGGCCTCTCGCAACCTACACAAGACTATCTCTACTGTTTTGACATGCTCTTCCCACGTCTCCGTATGGACTAGAATGTCATCTATGTAATTCACTACGTTGGGAATGCTCTTCAAAACTCTCCTCATCATTCTAGTGAACTGCGCTCCTGCAGTCACTAAACCAAACGGCATGTATCTGAATTGGTATTGACCAACCGGTGTAAGGAATGCAGTTTTGGCTTTATCCGACTCTCTCATTGGTATTTGCCAATACCCTTTGGTAAGATCGATTTTACTAAAGTATTTACTCTTTGCAAGAGAGGCAAATAGATCTTGCTGGTTAGGCATTGGTTCGGGGTCGAATACGGTTATCTTGTTCAGGCGTCGGAAATCGATACAAAACCGGTTCGTACCATCCGGCTTTCTCACCATCACAATCGGATGTGCATAGGGAGAGTCCGACTGCTCGATTACCCCTAACTTCAACATCGACTCAACCTCTTTCCCTATCTCACTCTCTACAGCTTGAGGTACCCTATATGGAGGAGAACGAACAGGTTCGTCACTAGTCAAATGAATCTTGCATTCAGCCACTGAAGTTTTCTTAGGAACATCCGTGAAAACATCTTGATATTCACACAACAATTTCCTGACCTTAGCCTGGGATTCCTTACTCAATTTCTCATCAACCTGAACATGACTCACAAACTCCTTCTGTACAGAACATGGCATGTCAGGTAGACCTCTCAAACACTCATCGACCTTCTCAATTTCTACTTCTCCTTCTCCAACTTCTCCCTCACAAGCACCAACCTCAAAACAACTAGAAGCAATCTCTCCATCTCGTCTAACATATCGTGTAAGCAGATTGATATGACAAGTCTTCTCGACACCATTGACATCGACAACATAGTCATAGTCGAACTTGGTACCAACAACCTTAAATGGCCCCTGCCATTTGACAAGCAACTTGTTTTGAATAGTAGGTAACAATATCAAAACCTCATCTCCTACATTCAACTTTCGCTTCTTGGCCTTCCGGTCATAATAACCCTTGTACCTCTTCGCCGAAGACTTCAACGTCTCTTTCGCCAACTGCCATGACTCTACCAATCTCTTTCGCAAGTCAATCACATACTCATACTCGCTTTTCAACTCAGCTTCTATGTTCTCATTCGTCCACAACTCTCTCAAAATGTCCATGGGACCTCTCACATGTCTGCCATAGAGCAACTCGAATGGAGAAAACCCAAGGCTAGAACTGGGTGCTTCTCGCAGAGCAAATAGCAAAGCAGGTAAGTACCTATCCCACTGACGTGGCTCTTCCGAACAAAGACGCTTCAAAGCTGTCTTGACTACTGCGTTGTATCTTTCTACGAGACCATTACATATAGGATGGTATCTAGAGCTTGTTATTTGTTTAACAGACAATAACTGTGACACCTTTCTCATCAAGTCAGACACAAATTGTGTACCTAAGTCTGACATGACTTCGCATGGAACACCTACCCTACTGTATACGGTTACCAGCGCCTCGGCAACATCGATTGTTGATATTGATTTCAGAGGTATTGCCTCTACATACCTAGTTGCATAATCCACTATTGTTAAGATATGTGTATGTCCTCGCGCAGATGGGAGTAACGGACCCATCAGATCTATAGCAATGCGCTGAAACGGAACGCCAACCAACGGTAACCTACCCAGAGTAGTCTTGGGGACTCTCCCCTTATTGACAGTCTTCTGACACACATCACACGATCGACAAAAATTGGCAACATCCTCAGACATACCTGGCCAGAAAAACTGAGCTTTGACCTTTGACAATGTATTGTTAATGCCGAGATGACCACCAAACAACGAATCATGGGCTATGCGCATGACCTCTGACCTGTGTGCCTTAGGAACAGCAACCAACTTCGGACCAACTCCTATCCGGGAATCTTTCTTATCCCTATCCTGCCGATATAGGCAATTCTTTTCCACCACGAACAAGAATCTTGATTTAGACTCTGTATCATTCACCTTTTTCCATAAGGGTTGAAGTGAAAGATCATCCTTCTGCTCTCGCAAAAATTCTCCTGACTGCACAATCACACCAGAGTCTCTCACTTTTAAAGCTTGATTAGGTTTTGCTTTCAACTTCTTTTGTGCCCTAGTCTCAACAGCCATCGCTTCCTCCAAACTTGGAGAATCAACCTCCGAAACCGGAACCTCGACTTCCAAAACCGGAACATCAGAAACCGGAACCTCAACTTCCGAAACCGGGACTTCAACATCGGAATTTCTTACTGTATTCTCAACACGACAAGGCACCCATTGCAAGTCAGGATCTTTGGGCTCACGTGCCCCCTTCACATCATTACCGATAATGACGTCACACAGACAGTTCGGCATACACAATGCACTGATTTCTCCAGTGAAATAAGGACTATCAACTAACACCTTCGCCCTGGGAAAACGCCTTAGAGTACCATCGATCAGTCTAACTAACTGGACTACTCCCGTGAACTGATCGTCCATCATCAAACTCGTTCTCACCACACTTGTACTACACCCAGAGTCTCTCAATACGGACACGGGCGTACTCAGAGGAAACAATCTACCCGAAACCACTGGCATATCATTCAACATCGCTCCAACCTCATCATATGCCATACCAAGTGTTTCCACATCCAAATCACTCTCTGACTCAATCAATGGCACACCAACCAGAGCACAACCCGCAGAATTCTCGACATGCCAGAGAGATTTTGACTGACTATTGGGGTGCTTATTGTCTGAACGTAAAGTTCCTATCGACCCTGAATAATCTACCCCATTTGATGGCAAACCCGACACATCACGCTTCACACTCTCAGATGGAGTAGTGTCCTCCACACTCATGGCTTGAGCAGAATGAGCTATGGGCATCATCGGACAATTCCGCTTGAAATGATTGGGGCTACCACACTTGTAACAGCCACGCTCTACTCCTGTACCACCACCACTACTACCATATCTCACTGAACTAGCAGACTTGGTTTTCTTGTCTGTTTGCGTGACAGAGACTGATTTAGGTTCAGGTCTTTGGTTTTGTTTCTGGTTTTGACTTGGATGGAATCTATCGCTTCTAGGATTACTCGAGAAAGTGTGCAATCCATGTGCATGCACGTATACTTCAGCACTTTCAATCATTTCATCCAACTTTCCACACTTCCTCTCTTTCAAGAATCCGACTACCTCTCTGGGACAACAATTTACAAATTGCTCTCGCATTACCAAATCAACCAAAGACTCGTAATTCTCCTGGATATTCGACATTTCCAGCCACTTGTCAAAATACCCCTTCATCCTCACAGCAAACTGTTTGGGGCGTTCATCCTTACTCGGCCTAGCCGACCTAAACTTCTTCTTATACCCCTCCTCAGTCAAATGGAAATATTCCATAATCTCTCGCTTTACCTTTCCATAGTTAGTGCGATCAACACCACTCATCCTATTGACAACATCAAGTGATTTGCCAGTCAAATTGGCAATCAAATGCAAACACTTCAAATGATCAGGAACACGTTGACTCTCCATCATCAATTCAAATTTCGTAATATACGAATCAAAATTATCAGTGTTTTCATCGAATTTGCCAACTTTCAATCTTAGCCCACCAAACTCTGAAAGGCGCTCTTCCGTTTTCGCTTGCTCTGCCTTTAGTTGAGCTAAGCGCAATTCATGAGCCTCTTTCTCCCGCTCTCTCTCATGTTCATGAGCCTCTTTCTCCCGCTCTCTCTCACGTTCAAGAGCCTCTTTCTCGCGTTCAGTAACCTCATTACAACGAGCCGACACGAAACTATTCAACTCACTTCCAGTGAGCCCGATCTCTCTACCTAGAGAAGAAAATTCTTTGATTTTCTCAATACTAGCCATCGTGCTAATCAACCAGTTATACCAGAATAGAGAGTAATTATGTTAGAACTAAGAACAATAGTTCTTCCCGACACATTCGCTATCCCGTCGACCAACAGCCCTGTAAAGCTTTTTGTATATTAGCCTTTACCTAAACGCTGTCTTTTCGGGCGACAAACGACCTATGTCCTAATCCTCGCAGCGCGACAAATCCGTCAATAATTAACTGTCCTATCCTAACTGCAATAGCTTAAAGCCTTGCCTGACTTAACGTCCATGCTTTAATGTGCAAGTATAGAGAGCACAATAATGTACCAAGGCTTGAACCATGCTTCAATGCACACCTTGGGAGAACCACTTCACATAAATCACAATATGAACTGAGGGTAATATTTCCCAATCCTTTCCAATAAAGTAGCAGTTGGGTCTCGGTGGGACCTCCAAATTGTCACGTGAGCGACTGTTTTTTAATTATTTACACTGCTACCTCATCAGAAAACCACACCAGAACACAATTGTATAAGTTTAAATAAAAGTTTAATATTCAGCCTACAAATCGTGGCGTCAAAAAATCATCAACAGCACATAAACAATTTAATGGAACATAACTTTATAACAGGGCAGCTTCCATCTCGTGAGTCCCTCCTGGTCCTTGTCGCTTGGCCAGTCTCTAGACTGCGTAGAATCCCCGTCGACTTGACAGCTTATCTCGATCTCCGTCGATGAATTCCCTGGTCGCTTGGCCAGTCTCTAGACTGCGTAGAATCCCCGACGTAAAAAGTCTTTCTCAAGAATAATGTTTCTCCCACTAATATAAATAAAAACTACCTCGTGCATTAAACGTCTGCACCGTAGCACTGACTTGAAGGGTTCTGCCCATTATTCTACAGCAACTTCCCTTTCCCCTTTCTTTGCCAGGTCCTTAACATTCAAAACCTCCTGGGTATGCAAGCTATTTCTATTTCTATCTACAATCAATAGCCAACCCCAAATCATGCATAACAAAACCCCATATACTATACATGTTAAATGCAAATGTATGCAATAATGCATCCTACGCTTGGCTACCTCTATCTGACCCTTGAGTAGTACATTTCCTTTGAGTAGTACATTTCCCTCCTCGCCTGGAAAAAATTCCTTTCATGACATTAAGTCGACTCGGTAACATATTTTATCTCGCCATGACAACATGTACTTCTTACGAAGTCGACTAGGCAAGATATTTTTATTTCGCCATGACGTCATATACTTTTTGGGAAGTCGACTCGGCAAGATAATTTATTTCGCCATGACGACAGATAGTTTTTGGAAAGTCGACTTGGTAAGATAATTTATGTCGCCATGACGACATGAACTTTGTGCGAAGTCAACTTGGCAAGATAATTTATGTCGCCATGACGACATGAACTTTTTGTGAAGTCGACATGGTAAGTTAAATATTTTTACATGTCGACATGATATGAATATTAAGTCAACTTGACAAGATGGAATATCTCGTCATGTCGTCAAGTAGAATGGCACTTTAACGCTTCCGTATGCACGAGGTACTTTTTTCAGTCAATTCTTAACAGGTCACAAAAAGGTCATGACGTCTTTCGTACATAACTTGGTTTTCCAGGTCAAAGTCATCAAAACAGTGCGGGCAGTATGTATGTACGTATAAGTATATGTAACTACATGTATATAAAAAATTGAAATATGAAGTCGGGAAATTTAGGATTTTCTTCATTAGTTTTGGTTTCCGATAGATAAGGAAATGATTTCCTGTAAGTAAACGTATTTGTTACAGAAGTAATTGAGAAAAGGGGCATCTTTCTTTGATCCTTTTCGCAGAATCCGCAAAATTTACACGAGAAGCTGCACTATGCAACAACATCACGAGAGCAAGGAGCACACTAAATTTTACAAGTTCCTGAAGGATGTCCTCCGGAACATCCCAAACAACTACCCGAGATCCTATCATTTAAAGGAGTTCGGTTGGAATGATTTTAACAAAATTGGTAAGGAACTTAAGTTTGTTTTCTTCAGACGACAATTGCAAAGGCTTTATTTTTTTAATTCTAGCTTATTATCGTTGCCAGGGGCGGCGATCTCGGAGAAGGACGGGGGAATCGTCTCTCTCCCTCCCCCCCCCCCGGAAAATTTTAAAAAGTGCCAAACAAATTTATAGCAAATACTGCCTAACGACCGCAACACACTTGTAGGCTCTGGAGGGCCTAAGAGTGCAGCATTAAGACTAATACAAATGCAAAAAATCTTCTCGCTCGGTCGTTGCGCTCACTCGTATATTATCTTTCAAAATGTACAAAATATATATTTTAAACATCTCGCATTTCGTCCCCCTCCCCTAGTCTTGAAAAGAAGTCGCCGCCCCTGATCATTTGTTCATTAGATTTGAATACTAACAGCAATAGTTCTAGAGATGTATTTTTATTTGTACATTTAAAATATGACAACGGAAACGAATATTCCGTTTTTGATTCAACGAAGCAATACAAGAATTCTGCATGTAATACTCCAACTATTTAGCCAATTACTTTGCTATTATGCCAGGAGGTGTTTCGCAAAGATTTAGATCGACTTAAGTTAGACTTGAACTATGGCAGGCCTTTCACGCCACTGGTTGCTCTTATCATTCCTGGCAATGGTCTTTCAAGGGACGTGCAAATTGTGATCACAAATCTAAAGAATTGACATTTTTTGTAGTTCATTGTTGAAGAAAAATAAATTATCTAAAGATGATATTGTATAGGGTATTTCTCCTCTAATTTTACGTCTGGTTTTAAGACTTTTCAGGAGAATGAATCGCATAGTATAAGTACAAGTCATAGGTAAACCTTAAATTCAAGTATGTTTTAATTCAACAATTATGAACTATCAAGAAATGTTAATTCTATAGATGTATAGCCATGATTTGCAGTTCCCATGAGAGACCAATGATGAGCGCAACCAGTGGCGTGAACGGTGTTCTATAGTTCAAGTCAAACTTAAGTCGATCTTAGTTTTTGTGAAACACCCCTGAAGCTTTTGCACATTCGCAGAGTATGTTTATCACAATGATTGGAAATGTCATATACGGCTTAGAACAATCTATATCCACATTACTCTGTTCCTTTTTCAACTACCCTTTTTCAGAATATCACTTGGTATCATTGGTTGTTTTTATGTAACATGTTAAACGAAAAGAGGAAAAGAGTAGTGAACAAAATTAATAATAATAATGATAATATAAACGTTACTTACTTGATCCGAATAAATACTGGCTACCAGCTGACTTCAATCCTGAAATGCACTTTGATAATGATTCCTTTAGTTTACTCCATTTTAACGCAAGAAGCCTAAACAAAAATTTTGATAATATACATGATTTTATTACAAAACATATCCATACAAATTTTTCAATATATGGATTCAGTGAAACATGGATACACCTGTTGACACCAAAAGAATTATTTCATTTAGAAAATTATAGTTTTTTTCATAGTGACAGAACAAAGAGTAGAGGTGGTGGAGTGGCCATGTTAATTCATGATTCATTGAATGTAAAAGAAAGGGTGGACATAACTTTGGCGCATAATTTATGTGAGTCTCTCTTTCTAGAAATTGAAATATGTAATCGAAAAAATGTAATTGTAGGAATAATTTATCGTGATCCTAGTTCAAATATGGCTGATTTTAATGATGATGTAAATACGTGCCTTAATAAAATGTTAAATGAAAAGAAGGATATATATATTATGGGTGACTGTAATATAAACTTACTTAACACCTCATCAAGTGCAAATGTTAATGACTTCGTTTATACTATATATAATAATTCTTTTCGACCCTTAATTAACAGACCGACGAGAATAACTCAAGGCTCGACAACTCTTATTGACAATATATTTACCAATGTCTGTGAAAAACAAATTTCCTCTGGAATATTATATAATGATACAACTGACCATTTACCTATATTTTCTATTACCCGTAATACAAGGTCCTATCCTAAAGCTGATGACAATATGAATATTACTGAAAGATGTTTTAGCCAAGGAAATATTGATAGTTTTAATAAAGAGTTACTCTCATTTGATTGGATTGATATATTATCAGTTCAAAATATTGACGATGCATATAATAATTTCCTTAAAGTATTCAAACTAATGTTTAATGGTAATTGTAAAATGGTAAAGAAGAAAAATACAAGGTCTTCAGCTAAAAAACCTTGGGTAACTCAAGGATTGTTAAAATGTATTAATAGAAAGAATCGTCTACATAAATTATTTTGCCAAAAACGTACTAAATCCATTGAATTTAAATATAAGAAATATCGAAACAAATTAAATGAAATCCTTCGAACGGCTCGTAAAAAGTATTATTGTGACTTGTTAACCAAGAATAAGCACAATCTTAGAAAAGTTTGGCAAATTATAAATGATTTAATGTGTAAGAAAAATAAAAAAAACTTTCCATTATATTTTATGAAAAATAATGTAAAAGTGTATAAAAATGAAGATATAGTAAATGAATTTAACAATTTCTTTTCGAACATTGCTGCAAATACCTTAAAACAAATTCATCATAATTCTAGAAAACAATTTAGACACTACCTTAAAAATCCAAGTCAAACATCGATGTATTTTTATCCAACTAATGAATTAGAAATCATCAAAATTGTTAAAGAAATAAAAATAAGTTATAGCACTGGCTTTGATGATATCAGTACTTTTGTTGTAAAAAAAGTAATCCATTCCATATTAACCCCTCTAGTCCATATATTTAATTTATCTTTATGTTCAGGAGGAGTACCTAATAATCTGAAAATTGGAAAGATCATTCCTATATTCAAAAAAGGCGATAAACACTTATTTTCCAATTATCGACCAATTACATTATTACCATGTTTTTCAAAAATCCTGGAAAAAATTGTTTATAAAAGACTCATTTCTTATTTGGATGGAAATAAAATATCAAATAATTGTCAGTATGGCTTTAGGGCAAGACATTCCTGTGAACATGCATTAATTGATTTAAATAACACTCTTTTAACTAATATCAATAACAATTATCACTCATTTGGAATATTTTTAGACTTGTCAAAAGCCTTCGACCTCATAGACCATAACATACTTTTATATAAATTATCCCATTATGGTATCAGGGGAGCAGTATTGAAATGGTTTCAGAGCTACTTACTTGATCGACATAACTTTACTATACTATACTAACTAACTATACATTTAATAATCATAATTCCCAATACTCGACAACCCAGTATGGGGTCCCTCAAGGCTCCATACTGGGCCCGCTCCTCTTCCTAATTTATATTAATGATTTATGTACAGCTTCTTCATTTTTTGATTATGTCTTATTTGCAGACGATACAACTATCATTTCAACCCATAGTAACTTTATGTTTTTGTTAGAAAAAACCAATAATGAATTATGTAATATAGCCGATTGGTTCGATGCTAACAAATTGATTGTTAATTATGAGAAAACTAATGTTATGTATTTTCGAAAACCTCATGTATCACACAATTGTTTAGATTTTCATATAAAAATGAATGATGTTACTTTAAATTTGGTTAACTCTGTCAAATTCCTAGGATTTATAGTTGATGATAATCTGTCATTTAAGGAACACCGTTTCTGTATAAGTAATAAGATGTCAAAGAACATAGGTATATTATCTAAATTACGTAGTACCCTTACTGAAAAGCACCTATTTATGCTTTATAATTCTTCATTACTTCCCTATATTTATTATGGTAATATTACTTGGGCAAGTTGTGGCACTACTAAATTGAACCCTATACACAGACTGCAAAAAAGGCCTTACGCATATGTTCGAACTCCCTTTACTAAGCTCCGTCAAGCCCAATATTTGCAAGATTAAACACATTGACAATTTTTGATATTCATAAAATTCAAATTGCGATCCTGATGTATTATGTGAAACATAATTTAGCACCTCTTAATATAATTTATTTATTTCAGTATAATAAAGATTACCATCAATACAATACCCGTTCCCACTCTAAATTCCATTATCCATTAGCACTGAATCAGTCAACTCTTAATGCATTTAAATCTGTTGGTCCTCGAATATGGAATTCCCTCTCTTCTGATGTAACTTCCAGCAGTAATGTTACTTCCTTTAAAACAAAACTCAAACGTTCAATAATAATCACCCATGTCAAGTAAACATGTAATTTCATTTCTCCTCCCTACGTTTTCTTACTTCACCTTTTCCTATTTCCCTTTGCCTGTATGTTAAGTGTTTAATGTTTTTCTTTTGTTGTTTTTTTAAATTAAGTTTGTTTTGTATCTCATGTTTATTGTATGTATATTTCTTTATGTTTTGGGTACCCCATTCATCAAGCCTTGGCTTTTAGGGGTACCCTGACCATTTAAACTGTATAATTTTCATACATGCATGATTTGTATATTGATTTTTTATTCTAAATGGATAAATAAAACGAATTGAAAAATTGAACTTATAAAGCGCTTATCATCGAAGTCTCTAAGTGCTATTATAATGAATCTCCATTGACAATTAAAGGGCCCATGACATCGAAATAAAAGTGTATTCCTGTTGGTGTGCAATCCTGCATACATCTCATATTTTGATATGTAAACTTCTGACATGTCAGTATGTAATTTCCCCCCAGCTTAGCACACGTTCATAATAGAATTGCGTGCTTTCATACATATCGTTCCTGTTTTCACGAAGTAACGGTAGTGAGGAAAATCTGCACGCAAAGTGTATGTGATTTTCATTCACTACCGTCACTTCGTGAAAATAGGGACGATATGTACAATACATCATCATTGCTTTGTCTTCCTGGTGATGCTACAGCATGTCTGACATAGCAACTTGTATGTTGTTATTGTATTACGTATTGTAACAGGTGGTCGACTTCGGCAAAGATACATACCACTTTCTCACGTTAGCTCATTGATGAATGACAGATGATGTCACAAGGGGAATGAGATCTGGAGGTTTTTGGGGTGGAGCTTAGCAAGTTTGAAAAACAAATATTTCAAAAAATATTTCAAAATCTATGAAACAAATCAAAATATGAGATGTATGCAGGGCTGCACACCAACAGGAATACACTAATATTTTGATGTCATGGGCCCTTTAAAACCGATCTCTTCCAGCGCAAGATATTTTGCCTCTGTATTTAACAAACAATGCCAAAAACTTACACATCTGATAAAGGCATCTGCAACTATGCTATTCTGTTCAAGTTTGCGCACCTTAACTCTATGAACACCTTTATTTTATATTCTTATATGGTTATATTCTTATATGGTTATGATATATTCAACTTGTTATTATTTATTATCTTTGCCTTCTCTTTTTTGTATAGGAAGCATTCATCCTCACTGCCACGTTGGCAACATTCAACTTGCCACTTATCAGCACTCGCCATCGCTTGGTGAGAGCAACGACTTTTCTTTCTTTGGTCGCAGTCTCACTTTAAACTTCCTTCCTGCATACCATGACACGAACTTCGTTTCACGTCCAGTCAGGTACGATTCGTATATAGCCTTTCTGGGAAGAACATCTATGTACGTCGGCATTGATCTCCGAGACGCAACGTCAGAGGCTCTCTATCTGTCCAGCATCATGCAGTGCATTGCGATGGATGTGAACAAAGGAACGCCCGTCCGCATCGGCTCCGAGATCATCAAGAAGTATGTCGACAAGACGACCCTGAATACACCACCGCAGAGACATCAGTTCTTACCCTTGCAGCCTGACAATGGTGATGTCTTCAGGTGGAAGACTACAGTGCAGTGTAGTGATGTTGATTACAATAGACACGTTAACCAAACACCGTATCTGCGATTCATGTATGATGCAGGAAGCTCTGCAGCTGTGGCCGGGTCCCTCAGGTCGTTTCATCATGAGCTAATCCACTACAAACTGAAAACATACACTGTGGAATATATGCAGGAGATACGTCAGGGAAAAGAACTTGTAGTTGTGTGCTGGGAGATGGATGATAACCCAGGTACAATTAATTTCGAACTTCAGGTTGGAGACCGCACTGTCACTAGAAGTCATCTGATTTTCGATGTACAGCCACCTGCTAAACTTTAGGACCACCCATAAAAATGGCTTATAAGAAAGACAATAATTGTAACGATAGTGATCATAGGAACTCTAGTAATCATAGGAACTCATTCCTCGCTCACGTTAACATGGCCACGGGGTTGTCCATTTGTGTTTGATCGATTCAAACAAAAGAAAATAACACGATCATATCTGTTTTAATACGAAAAGTCAACTCAGGGCATTTTCAATACCCCATTGTTTGTCCCATAGAAATTATGTTCAGATGAAGTCATTAATATTATCACATTAAAAAAGTGACGCACAATTAATGCTATTGAAATTGCCTTAGGTTGCTTTTTCATGAATTCAAAACAATCTTATTTTTATCGGCTTTAGCTCAAATTTTCACTGGACTAGTCAACATTATAGTAAGAAGTTTGAATTTGTTATTATTTGAATCAATAATCAAAACTTCATTTTGATCTGTTCATAAAGGATTTCTTACAATGTGCCTATTTAGATACATGTATTCCGTTATTATCTCTCAACCTTCAATGAGGGGTAACTTGCATTGCTTTATCCAATTGTAGTTGGTTTTTACGCTGTCTTTGTAAGCGTATGTGTGTGGGTGTGGGTGTGTATAAGTATAAATATGGTGCTTGTAAGTCAAAATTACACTGAAATGAGGTGACAGGGATCAAGTTGTTTCTTGCGTTTGAATGAATGAATTAAAGAAAAGGTTTGTTGCTATTGATTTTTTATTTGTCAAATGGTCTCTCATATGGTTTTTGTCATAACGAGTGAAGAGAAAGTGCAATGTCTCACATCTAAAGAAGTTAATTCTTCTAATTAATGTAAAAGTTTATCTTCAAATCAAGGAAAGGTACCCCCTGGATCCCAGGTCATATTACCTTCAGACATTTGTCCTTCATACAATTATCTTAACATACCTTCGAGAAGTATTTGTGTTAAAAATTAGTAATCCATGATAATAATAATAATATTTAATTTTTATGTAGCGCTTAATACAAATGTCTCTAAGCGCTTTACAAACATACTATTACCCCGGTCATTGGATTCAGTGCTTGCCCGCACACAATGTGTGCACAATCTCCACTCCCTCATTTAGTGAATCGATCAGCTCACTTTCTACGTAATTTACAATCAAGAAGCAGTGTACCATTTGTGAGCGACGAAGATCAATTTCCCCTCAAGGTGTTTTCAGTCTTCTGTTATGAGAATGTGCTTATAACCCCATCAGGGCTGGGCTTTTTCCTCTTTATAAGATGTAATTTTTCGAACTGCGACCTAACGAATCTTAAAATGTTTCCTCGCTCGCTTCACTCGGTCGCAAAAGAATATTCATACTATCACACCCAACTGCAAAGTAGATGCTTAAGCAATATCTTGTATGGTGTAAAGGAGAAACAAATATTGAAATCCTCCCTTATAATATAATCACAATGAAGGGGTATATATATACCAATGTTTAACGAAATGTATAATTTAGCTTTGAGATTTCTCTTTGTAGGTGCCCTTTTTTCCAGATAGTACCCTTTTTGTGTTGGTGTTAGCAGAAGGAAAAAAGGCACGTATTAGAAAGGATAAGGGGCACGTGGGGAAATAAAGGGGGCAATTATCAGAAGTGAAACGGGGCACTCATCAAAGATGAAAAGGGGGGACTTTTTAGAAGGGGAAGGAGCAACTATTTCGAAGGAAAAGGGGTACTTGTCAGAGATGATAAGAGGCACTTCTCGTACCTGAAAAGGGGAACTTTAATATCAGAGATGAGAAAGTGCAGTTGTCGAAGGGATACTAATCAGATTTCAATGGGAGCATTTATCAGTGGTGGAGAGGGACATGATGAGAAAAGGAAGAGGCTTTTAGGTAAACAAGTATGTAAACAAATTGGGGGCATTTTTTCAATGTAAAAGGGGGCAATTTGGGGGTACCTGATGCTAATATATGAGAGACATTGAACACAAATTGACTGCAAGATATACTTTGCAAACACTAGAGGGGCGTTGCAAGAAAGTTTCGATTGATTGATAGAGAACAGGGTTTGCGACAAGAACTAATATGTGTGATGTGAGTCATTTTAATAATGAAGAAGAAAAAATAACATTTACAGTGATATAACAAAATATATATATATATATATATATATATAAAGATCTTAAACTATTTAAAGAAACATCTCGACTTCGAAATGTTCGTACACAATTTCAGGGGCGGATCTAGCTTTTTGCTAAGGGGGGGGGGGGTTGACCAAAATAATGACGATGCGGAGCATCGTCCACGAGCCGCAAAGCGGCGAGCCGATTTTTGGGGGGGTGTTTATTTGAACCCCGTAAGTGATGTTTTCCTGGCATCTATTAACACAATGGAGACCATAAAAAGCAGTGCATGATAACGTCTTTTTAAATCAAGTAACAGTTAAATACACAGTTATATCCAGAGTTATCATGTGTTTGGTTAAGTTACCAGATGAGTTGAAAATCTTCTCACAATATTTGCACTTGAAAGGGTTTCTCTCCAGCGTGCGTTCTTTTTTCTTTCTTTTTTTTTTCACTTCGGCGGTGGCCCGTGTCCTCAAAAAAGCTGATGGGGGGGGGGGCAAGGGACTCTGTGACATTTGTTCGCCCCCCCCCTCCCCAAAAAAGAAATAATAATAATAATAATAATAATAATAATAATAATAATAATAATAAATGAAATAAATACATAGAAATAGAATAAAATAAAATTACAAGTTAAAAAAAAAGGATAAGATTTTAAAAAATGGTCCCCGGATTTTTTTTTTTTTTTTTGGGGGGGGGGGGGTTGCAACCCCCCAACCCCCCCTCTAGATCCGCTTCTGAATTTACAACCATATCAGAATAAATCTGGAAGATTTTAAGTACACGTTCACTTCCAATCATTTGAGAATGACTAAACCTAAGTAAAAAGTAGGCAATCAACACTATATTACAGAATAGAACTTATAATAGTACTGTATAATGAGTGTGTACGTATTTTTTAATAAAGCTACATACATAAAACGATAATTATGTATACATACCCAAACATCTCTACTACACATGAAAGGGAGAAAATACATAATTTGGAAAATGAATACTGCTACCATTTCAGTAATAAATCATTTCTTACACCATTCATAAACTATATATCTATTAATAAAAATATGAATCTAAATATATTCAGTATAGTTTTGTATTGATTAAAACCAGAATTTAAGCATTCACGATCTACAAATATACATGATAACATGTCTAAAAATCTAAATGCTTCTTTAAAAAAAAAACGATTCTCAGTCAGCAATTAACTGGACAGTACAAAAATATATCGACAATCGAATTATGCAAATTTTCTAAGGTAAACCCCAAACTTAATAGACAATTATTATAGAAAAAAGCAGAAAATTCAAAGAAGAGGACTATTGAAAGTTTGAATGAAATCTCCTTTTTTTTAATTGTTGTTATCACTACACGTATGGGCACCCTTCAAATTGGCTGTATCGGCAACGTCGTTATGACCTAGGGCATGACAACTTTCCTATTTTGTAGCAACACACAATGACTAAGTAAATTTGTATTTAATGTTTGACTCTGTAGGGTATTTTTGTTGAGGACCTTTAATAATACAGTGCTGCCCATAATATATGTAGAGCAGTGCCTCAAGGGAGAAGGCACTCAAGAGAAAAATAGAAAGTAATTATATTTTTGTACACGATAAGGGAGAGTTCTCAATGACTACATCACAATTCACTGACCAAATTACCAAGCTGAGATTCGCATAGATTAGTAATATCACATTTCAAACATTCATTACTGTCTTACGTAGGTCCGATTTATTTCCCACTTTTGTCGTTCTGTTTCTCTTAATTTCTGCTTCCATACAAATGAATTTATTAGAAAGGTTAGATCGCCCTTTAAATAGTATTTTCTTGGAAAGCAATTACTTTAATTGAATATAGTGGTATATAAAAAAAAACTAAAAAGCAATTACAGTACTTGAAGATTACACATTTACTAAATGATTCTAAATTTCTGACATTTATGCACAATTAATGAACAAAAGTGGATGCCAATGTCCTGAAAGCTTGTTTGAGGTTTGCTGACATGGTAATATATAATTCATGTACATACCAGTTAGATTTCATCAATATAAATGTTATTTATGTAGAATATAGATACATGTTACTAAAGTAACATATGGTCAATAAATTTGATACAATGGTAATTAAAGGTCTATTGCAATCAACTTTGAATATACAGTTACATTACTGCAAGAATTACATTAAATAAATGTAAGAAAAGAAATTGAATCCTGATTTAAAAACTGTTTGCTTACAAATTAAGGCATTATTGAAAGACATGTTAGTTCTGTTATACTTATTCCATGATATTCCCAAAATAAAGTGGATCATTGAATTTATTTATTGCATTTTCCAATAGACAGAATCGACTCTCCACATTTTTCTCTTTTATATTATAAAAACATACAATTTTAGAATAAGAATAAGTAAGAATAGTAACACAGGGAAATATATTTTAAATTACTTATAACTGTACTTAATGTTGCTATGATAATAAGCTGCATGGATATTGCAGTGTATTTTTAAAATGTAGACATTCCCATAGCTGTAATTAAAACTGACAAAAATGTTCATTAATTCTAAGTATATTGCGAAAATAAGACAATCAAAAGCTTTTTAAAATCACTTTTAATTACCTTCTTCTCACTTCCATACATATGTAATGACAACTTACTGACTTGGTTAGTTAGTTAATAAGATGGCGTTTTTGTTAATCAGCTACCAATCTTTAAGTCGTGGTTTTATGAGATACAAAGAAAACCTGCATGAAAAGATCACTCAAGGGAGACAACTAAGGTGGTCGTTATCAACAGGTGGCCTTTATGTACAGGTTTCAATAAGGTCTGTATAGACAGTGGTCATTCACAGTGGTCTCTTTATGATCCTCTCCATAGGCTGTGGTAAACCACTGCAGTTTTTTTCTGTTTGCTATTGCAAGTGGGGATGAAAGACGGCTAGGTAGCACAACATTGGTCCACTCCGCATAAACTCTTATCTGCATAATATACACAAATATGAAGGGCAATATGCTGGGGAGGGGGAGTAAACTGCCTCAGTGTACCACAGCATACATGTAAGGGAACAAGGCGTACAATATAGGGCAGGTTCACTTTACTACATGGGGAAAAACTGCAGAATACCCCATGTGAACGTGACCCAAATCCTATCCATAGGGTCTTACCCTATAACTCATCCAAACACTGACTGTAGGACCTGATGCTAACCCTAACAGTAACCTAACCTTAACCCTTACCTAACCATTACACTAGGGCCTAATTACCCTACCCCTATATCTAAACCTACAACCTAACCCTACAGCTGACCTAACCCTAACCCTAAAATCTTAACCGGCCTACGACCCAACCATAATCCAGACCTTAATTCTGATGCTAATCCTCACCATTACCCTCACTTTAACCCTAACCCTGATACACAGAACTGATGCATGATGGTGGTTCTGCTATCAACTATTCAACTGTTTGAGTTGACTATCGAAAAAAATAATGGAAAGCCACGTACATTCAACTTTTGTCACAAGTACAATGTGTATGTACCTTTCAAAACAATCTGGCAGATTAGGATTCCAATCCATAGCAGAAACAGTCCGGACCATAGGGCATGCCAATCGAGACCACCTGGCTAGGAGGCTCTGTTTTTATTTGTTT